CAGCATTGTCCCCAAACGTCCTAACATAACAGTTATTAATCCTTCATCAACTGATCCCTGCCTCCCTGCAGTATCCATTCCTTTCTCTCGCCCATCGGGTCCTGGAGTCTGGAAATTCAACACTCAATATCTCTAATATGATGAATTTGATGCCCTCATTACTGCATTTCTGGATAAGGCTGACTTTTTCCTCTCTCATGACACGTCTATTGGTTCTCGTTGGAATAATATCGAACAGCTCATCAAACAGCCCGTCCTCACTTATTCTAAACGAGTTTAGCGTCGACTCAAGAATCAGGAACGCCATCTTCGTCGTGATAGGAATGGATTTGAGATTTATACCTGTTCTTCTCAACTTAACATTGAAAATCAGCTCGCTAACATACAATTGTCTCGGGCATCCACCCTAGCTACCACATCTGGTGCTAAGTGGTGTGAAGCTGGTGAGACATCATCCAAATACTTTTTTAGGGTACTCAAACAGTGAGACGCCGCCAAAAGTATTTCTTCACTTGTCGATCCTGTTACTGGAGTGACTTACACTCCCTCTGCTGATTTATTTGGCCATACTCGTTCTTTCTACCAATCTCTTTACTCATCGGAACCCATCGATTATTCCGCTACACACACACTTATCGACAACTTCCCATACTCTACTCGTTTCCCTGCAGATTAATCCACTAATTTAATTGCTGATGTAACACTGGACGAAATCCTTGCTTTACTGAAAGCTACCCCCCACCAATTCAGGCCGCGGCATATATGGTTTGCCATACCCATTGTGGGCTCGGCTTTTCTCTCATACGACCATCAAAACAATTGCAGTTCAGGTTTATAACGACTCTATACGTAGTGCTTTCCTTTCCTCCTGGCTGGAAACCATACTCGTTCTCCTCCCCAAGGCAGGTGACACGACCTCCTTCCACAACTAACAATAAATCTCTTTGATAAAATGTGACGCCAAGTTGCTCACCAAAATGCTTACTTTCCATTTATGCTATGGTATTGGCCCACTTAGTATACCTTTTCAAACTGGATTTATGGCGGAGAATTTGATCGCAGACAATGACTTGCTAACACGACTCGCTATGTCGCATACCCAACTAACCAATGACTTTTGTGTTGACCCTTCTTTTGGATCAGGAGAAGGCTTATGACCGTGTCTACCCTGGCTACCTTTGTCTGGTCATGGCCAGGACCAGATTTACCACCATGCTCGTCGACTCTGTATGCAGTATTTTTTTTTCTCTACTCATATTTACATAAATGTGGATGGCCATATATCCTCTTCTTTTTTACTGAGCCAGGGACTACGTCAGGGTGATCCCCTTTCTCCATTACTTGTTAACTCGGCCTTCAAACCTTTGCTTAGATCCATTCTTGCTTCTCTATCAATCCGTAATTTCCAGTTTCTGATTCCGCCCTCTCTCTCATCGTCCTGTCCCTCTCTCTCACTATCTCTACTCAGATTTCTCGCCTATTCCGATGTACTTCTTGTCTTTCTCTCTTTGCCCGCCGATAATAATACTTTACTAAACCCTTTGCATACATTTGGCTTAGCATATAATACGAAAGTCAGTCTCCACAAGATGGTTACTGTTGCTATGTCTTGACAGTTCTATCCGGATTGGGGCACTGTACTAGATGTTGCTGATATCCACAGTCTCCATGACCGCCACTCCACCACTAAAATCAGTTACCTAGGCTTTTCATTGGGCTCATATATCTCCCAGATTGAAGCTTTCGGTGCTGCTTTACTGGTCCAGCTTGGTGACCGTTGCACGCTACTATCTCAAAGATGCTTGTCCATACGTGGTAAAGGTATTGTGACGAACTCACTTTTTCTCAGCTCGGTATTTCATGTACTATATGCGACTCCTGCCCCACTATCTTTCTTTGGTGCCATTCGCACCAATATTTGCTCGTTGCTGCGCCTGGGTTTTGGTAGCTCGGGTTGGCCGTTTCTCTGTCTGCCACGCAAATATGGGGGTTTGGATCTGCTTGACTTCGATTATCAACAAAGAGCTCTTCGATTATGATGGATTCTTCCTATATTGCACTATCACTCTTTTTCGTCTCCCTCATTTCTGTTACCTTTCCTTAAATTTCTCATTTCATTACACTTTATGGCTCTTATTGCTAGTATTGCACTTCTGTTCCTTTGTAGTGCTGCAACTTTCCCGACTTCACTTCTTCCACCGCATCGCGCTAATACCTCACTTCTTTCAGCCTTACTCCCATCCAACCTACGCCTGCAACCACCGGTAGTTCAACACTTTCCTCTGGCTTTTCTATGTATGTATTTACCACCTTTTGTTGAATATTATTTGAGCCTCAAAACACTCCTTGTGTTTGATGCATTTTCGATTAAAGAAGATAGCTGTTTCGCCCGCAAATCTCGGAGTACCTTCTCTTGGGCATGTAACTATATTGGCCAATTCTTTTGGCAGCTTGATTCTGAAAGTATGGTACACTGCCCTTGGTTTATTTCTTGCCTTCGACCCTGTGACTCCTCCGACCCCACCTCTCCCGGTGTTTCCTTTCTTCTGTCCTTGGTGTAACCAGACAATGCTAGGTTTGGTGAAGCCTGCACTGGGTCTCTAAGTCATCATATTCGCCCAACATCAAAACCACCGCCCAGCTTATCCATCCAATGGCACAAATTTTGGTCCGTCCTTATTCCTCACCACTGTCTAACTGTCTGGTAAACATTGCTCTGGGATCGAACCGCAACAAAACAGCGTTTGCAACGTTTCATGCCCCTTCGCTTCCCTAGCTCTTCCTGCATTTTGTGCAATGCCGCCACCGAAGATCAGTATTACTTCTTCTTTTGATATTCTGTCAAGCTTCAATTGTGGAATGTTTTCCTCTCTCGCTTTTGTCCATTCTGGAACCTTGATGATGCCCACCCTCTCCTGACCCGTGGAACTTTCACCCCACGTTCCTCTGATCAAAACTTCAAATAATCGTTTCTGTTACCACTGCCAAGACCATATCGAGTGCGCACAGGAAGTTTATATTTGATGAGCAACCTTTTCTTGCTGGCGTATTTGCACAGAAGACATCTATTGTAATCGAGAAACACAGATCAGCACTAGTTTAACACTCTTGTCTCTTCCCTATTCACCAAATGCTCATGTTTTATACTTTCAGCCTTTATCTTTTCTTTCAGATCCTTATTTTCTCTCAAATCCACCAAGTCCACTTTGATGGCATTTTAAAATATGCACCCAGAGCATGCCAAAAGGTCAATAAAATACTAAAAGAAAAAAGGATCGTGGAAAGATTCAGTTTCGTTTTTGTCCTCACACAACTTATACCTAACCCGTTCCTCTAGAATTTTGCTGTCCTGAATAATGCCCATGTTCTTAAAGTAGTCTTCTGAGTTGTCAAGGTATGTGTCGGCGACGGGAGGTTTGATGACTGATTCCCTGATGATGGAGACGCTGAAGATAGTACCTTCAAACTCGCAGGTATTTTCAAAAGAAACGTTTTTAATGGAGGCGTTGCTGGTGGGAAAGTTGTTGATGGACGCATTGCCAATGGAGGTATTAGAGATGAGTGGCTTCGTAATGTTTGCTTTGACGTTTCAATCCTTGCTGTTGGAAGTAGCTGGGATAATGGTTTTCATCTGGGGAGTATTAATGATGGAAGCCTTTGAGCTGGAACCATGTGCAATAGGTGTGATGTTCAATCTACTGGTCATCTTCTTAAAGAAGATACAGTTCATAGTGAAAAACGAGGTATTCGAGATTGTTTATGAGTTAGTATCTCAATACTGGGAAAGATAGATACTTTGAAAGTGTTATTTATTAAAGAGAATCAAAACAATATTGTTTATATCTATTACTATTCGAATCGCTTGTAATTGAAATCCTTGTCGTGTAATTTTTGGTTTGTTTACACTGTATAAGTGTGTAGTGTACGTATGCTTGGTATGTAATAGCTCTGGAGATTGTTAGCTTGTCAAGTTTATTAGCAAGAAGGAACCAGTGTTTGGTTGCAGAGTCTGTTATTCACTCAATTGTGATGTTTATACCACAAGTCCGACGGATCGCTAAGAAACATTCTTGTGGTTCCACAGCTTGGCGGACTCAACAAGAGAAGGCCCTTCAAAGCAAACGTAACCATCTAATGCGTAAATTTACAATAGAAAATATCCGCAACACCTAGCTTTCTATTGTGTAACGCCAATTGTTCATTATTCAACAAGAAACTGTCGAAATACTGACCAAAAGGCCCAATAATACTGGAGAGAAAACGATGAACGGTCACCCGGGTATTTGAAAAGAACTGTTTTGGCAAAGGCTATTAAAAAGTTATACATTTTTTGCGTCACCCCGTCTAAGAAGCCTTGTGCACCACGCCCGCTACCATGACAGATGCGGCCACGCACTTTTATGAAAAGCAGTACAGTATCAACCCAATTAACGATTCATCCGTTGGAGATCTACTCAGCTATGTCTCTTCTAAGCAATTCTTGAGTGAAGCCACTCAATCCTCCATAACACTTCCACTAACATTTAATAGTATATGGGAAGCAGTCAACTGCCACCCCCACCATCACAGCCCTGGCCCAGAAGGTATGCCCTACGAGATTCTTTCTCTCTTATTCCGTGAAGACGGGTATGTCACACTTCTAACGAGAATTCATAATGGCGCTCTCGACAAAGAAGCCTCTCAATCTTCTTGTAGCTCCACCTACTTGTCACTCCTCCCAAAGAAAGGGGACCTCTCCAGTCCTAAAAAATTGGTGGCCCATCGCACTGATCAACACTAACGCAAAAGTGTTTACTCGTATACTGAATGCCCAAATTATCCATACTTCAAACTCTTTCAATCACTACAAAACTGGTTTTGTGAAGGGACAGTTCATAGTTGACAGTGAGATCATGACTCGCATGGCTATAGAATACACCCAAAACACTTCTGATACCTCAATTGGTCTGATGGTTGACCAAGAAATATCATATGATCGTGTACGCCCCGAGTATTCGAGACTAGTTCTTTAAAACTTCTGGTTCCTAGACACGATAGTGCACTGTATCCCATAATCGCTTTTATCCACTAGTATGTCAATCAATGTCAACGGTTTTTTGTTGGCGTCAATTCTACAAAATCGAGTTCTCAAAAATGTGATATGCTGTCCCCTGTTCTGTTCAACTTTGTTTTCGAACCTTTGCTCCGCCTACTAGCCGCCGATAGCTCTCTTCCAGGATTTGGTCTATCCACCGACGACCACACTGACCAGCCCTCACCACCACCAGTCAAATACTTGGCTTATGCGGATGACACTCTCATATTTCCCAAGTCACCTTCTGACCTTGGCACTTTACACAGACATCTGGATACTTAAGAATTTCAAATGCACGAATTAACATACACAAGACACAAGCCTTTTCCTTGTCCGGTGCCTCACTATCAGAGTGGCGCACACACCTACGGCAAAAGCTTATTACCTTATGACACGATCGTACTTATCCCGCTTCTCTCACGTACTTAGGGTTTCCATTGATATCATTTGTCACACAAAGAGATCAATTCTGTACCTCACTTCCGAATACAGTCAAATCGTCTTGTGGCATGCGCCTGTAGTGATTACGCTCGGTCATATGTCGAGCTACTGTCGTGAACACGTTGATTCTCTCCTGTGTTTGGCATGCTCTTTGAATAAAAACTGTCCTCAAAAGGTTCTTCGACAAACTCTGTTCCATTTTAGGCCGTTTCCTCCGGCGGAATATGCTCTCTATGGCGATCCTGTCTTCTATGTTTTCAGAAACTGCAAAAAGGCTTAGGCGTGTTGGACTCGCAGATTCAACAGAAAGTACTGACTATGCAATAGCTACAACCTATTCTTGACAACTAAACATCGGCATCCTTTGTCACCCCTTGAATAAAGCACTTTCTTGATCCACACAAGTCCTTTGGGGACCCTCGCCTTCATTTGTTGGTTGCAATACTGCGAATCACATCTTTAAGGACAAAGAATGGTGCACTTTCCACTCTCATGTGTGCTATGGACTCTATCACATGAAACTTTTCTCTTCTCACTTTGAGCTGCACCACTTGTCTTTCTCTGAAGCTGCTGGATGGTGTAACCTACACAGCTTCTTCTGCACCTAACACCTCTGGTTGGAAGCGCATTAATGCTTCTGGTGCATTTATGTTTGATTAGAGCCTCTAAGCTATCCCCTCCCAAACGCAAGTTCAACGGCCTAAATCGTCATGTCTGATAGATAGGCTGTTTCAGGATATAGAAAATACAGCTACTGAGCTCACGCCTTTCCTTTGGCGCGCTACATTGCCTCCCAATGACCACCATGAGTTGCAACTGCTAGCTAATCCTTTGATAATAAATCACAAGCTATTAGTTTTACTCCTCCCTTTGCAAGCTAAACAATGGCGTTCATTTTGGGGCTTTCCACTCCCATTACACCTCCCGCAACATATGCTATCGCTCTATACTCAACTCCTTGTCGTGTCAGTACACCCTATACAACTGTGCTCCGACCATATTTGTCACTAAAAAGTGTCCCATTTGCTTGTCTGAGGTAGACACTCTCTCTCGTGTCCTTTACCAGTGCCCACAGAAGTGGACAGTATGGGAAGCTACCCTGAAAATAATAATAATTTGGACTGTCCCCATTGACATTTGATATTCATCCCACAATCTTCTCTCTGGAAATCCTTGACCACCCACTACCTGTCTTCCATGTTCGGCCATGTCAAATTATTAGCAGCAGCATCTTGGCCCTGTGGTGCACTCACTGAAGCTTTATCTTCGACATCCGGTCTTTTCACATCTCCTCGATTAATTCTAAAATAGACACCATTGTTTCGCACATCTTCTCTGACTTGGATTTAAAATACACTTTCCTTGGGCTTTTATTTCTAAATCTTAAAGCCCCTCAGAAAACTCCAAAAACATTTGTATTTCTTTCTTAACACACAATAAATATCAGGACTAGTTCCTCAATACCAAAAAAACCAAAGCAGCATGGAAAGGTACTCGACACTGTAAATAAGGTTCTAGATACGAGAAAAGACGGAAGCTCAGTCAGTAGCAACAGTACTAACACGATTCTTACTCTTCCCTGAAAACCAAGTGCATTGCAAAAAAATACCCTGAGCTGTACGATGGTAGCCCAGAACAAGCCATCACAGATGCACTAGTGTGTAGTCAGTATCTATCTGGTAGTCTTCCTATTAATTCCCCGCAGTACAGGCGGTAAACAGCCGAGAACTGAGCCCTGAGCCCTGAGCACAGAAATGGAGATGATGTTGGTGAAAGGGGTTATTCGGCCAAGTAATAGTTTATGGAGCTCCCCGCTGATATTGGTACCAAAGCCAGGCAATACTTTACGATGCTGCATCAATTATAAAACACTAAATGATGTGACCCGCAAAGACTAGTTTCCCTTACCACATATCGATGATCTATTACACAAGTTGATTTATGCCAAATATTTCTTGACACTAGATCTCAAGTCCGGTTATTGGCAGATTCCCATGAGTCCAGGCGACATATGTAATACTACATCTTCCACGGAGAAGAGTCTTTTCGAATTCCTCGTAATGCCACTAGGCGTTACTAACTGCCCAGCCATTTCACAATGCCTCATGCAGCAAATCTTTTATTAGCTGGATTTCCCTACCATTTGCATTGACGATGAGTTGACTTATTACGCAACCGAAACAGAATATATGGTACACATCTCAAAGGTTCTAAATACACTAGTGAAATGAAACCTCAAGATCAGTATCAAGAAGTGCCATTTATTAGTCACAGAAGCCGAGTCTTTCGGGTATTAGGTGTCCGGCAATGGTATCGGACTAGATCCTTCCAAGACTTGCCCAAGCCTACTACGATTTAGGAACTACAGATGTTTTTAGACATTTGTAACTTCTATCATCGTTTTTTTTTCTGCAAATATTTCTGTGATAGCCATTCAAGAATACCAATTGTTAAAGAAAGAAGGTGTTTGGACGTGGGACGAGAATAACAATGCTTTCAAAATATCGAAAGAAAAACTAACAAAATTACCGCAACTCGAATATCCAGACTCCAATTTTTCATATGAACTACACACCGGCGCCAGCGACACCGGCACAGAAGCTGAATTGGTTCAAGAGACCCACCCAGTCGTATTTGCTAGCTGTTCTCTCTTACTCGCCGGAAGGAAGTATAGCACAACTGAAAGATAATGTCTGTCTGTAGTATGGCTATTAAGATTTCCCCATTGTTATATCCACAGAGCGAGTTTGACTGAATTCATGAATTATGCAACACTAAAGACAATACTCACAACCAAGAGTCCAAGGGGTAGAATAGCCTGTTGAGTAGCAAATGTGATTACCTACAAGTTTACTGTAGTACATTGTAGAGGTACTTATAATAAAGACGCAGATGCATTGGGTTGTGCATGTTTTACCAGTCTCAACCAGAGCAGCGCTCAAATAAACAGCCGGACTATAAGCAGGAATATGATACGAGAGCAGCAAATGTGCTAACCGGAGATCAAACATCTCCAAACTTTCAAGGAAAACTAATTCTTCTGGAAAAGGGGCGTGTCCGGTAAAAATCTCAGGGCACTCGCTATCGTGATCCCTCACCCAATACGCCAATTATTTCTTGCGTCAATCCACGCTCATCCAGCAGCTAGCCATTTTGGCCATGATGAAATACTGAATAAAACACAGCAGCATGGATGGATAGTGATCGTGGTATGGTCATCACAATTTGGTGAAGAACAGACTCTACGACCAAACACTGGTTCCTTCTTGCTAATGAACCGAGCAGTCTAACAATCTCCGGAACTGTTACATACCAAGCATACGTACACTACACACTTATAGAGTGTAAACCAGCCAAGCATTACACAACGGGGATTTGAATTACAGGGATTTTAATAGTAGCAGATATAAACAATATTGTTTTGATTCTCTTTACTGAATAACACTTTCAAAGCATCTATCTTTCCCAATATTGAGACACTAACACAGCAATAGTCCCAAATACTTCAGTGATTGTCGATTGTAACTGACACAAAGACATATGCACAAAAATACCCAGAGTTTTTTTTTCACTACAACCAACTCACATACAAGCTTGGAAACCTATAAAGTTTTAAGGTTCATTTTTTGGGAGGATTGTAGGACGTCTATATTGTAGTTCTGCCAGAATCTAAAATAGGAAGCCAATATTTATTAGTGCTAGCGAAATACCTAACCAGATGGGTGATAACAGCCGCTCTGCCTCGATTCGATTCGAATAAGATTGCTCACGTATTGACTCTCAAAGTAGTTCTACTATACGTGGTACTGAAAAGATTCCTCACAGACAACGGAACTGACTTTGTCTCAGAGGCAATGAGAATAGTATGCCAATGAATGAGAATAACCATAACAATAACAAGCGTTGAGCACCATCAAGCAGGCTGCTTGGTAGAGCAAATGAACAACCCTACTAAGACAACACTGGCAATTTACGCAGAAAAAAAAAGACGTCCAATAATGGGGTGAATAGCTATTATTCGTAACTTATGCTATCAATACGGCCGAACAAACATTAACAGGAAAATTACCTTTTGAGATAATGTTTGCTAGACGAGCCAACTTACCAGCCACCGGCGACTTCAACCTGTCATAGATAAAATTGCACCCTACAAAAACATGGATCTGACATTCTAATCATTACCTTCCAATAATCCAACAAGATGTAAAAACAAACTTACAAAAAAACCAAGAGCGACAAAAATATAACTATGATAAGAACCTCAGAGAAAAACAACAGTTTAAAGTCAAGGACATTGTCATGAAGATAAAGCCAAAAAAGACTTGTAGAATTCAGGGAGAAAACAATGAAAAGTGGGTTTCTTGATTGTCCATGTCAAAAATTCTGAAAAAAAGGGCACAACTGTAATTCAAGAACAACTGTATCCAATAGAGAAGAAAGGTTTATCTCCTACATACAATTTGAATGCTGCAATTCCACCTTTAGTGCCACGCCCTCGTCCGAGCATGATTGCTATAGATGTGCGACCTACATTGAACACTAAACCCAGCAACAGAAAGAGACGTAAATCTTAACGACTTCTTACTCTGAGACATTACAATACCCACAGCAATAGCTTGCTCGACAAAGCTCTCGCTGAACGAAATTCATTTCATGGAATTGTGCCAGCATGAATAAGTCTCACTTGCAGATTGCCACCTTAAATTGATGTAGCATTTTGAAGGTTGACTACCCACAGACATAATTAGTGTTTGTTATATATATATATATATGTTCTTGAGAACTTGGTCTCGATATGTTCACAATCCAAAAAGTCACACATTTATCTGAAGCCAGTCCTAAATTTTCTCCTAATTACATCACCCTGCTACAACATCTCTTTCGGCACTCATCTTCCATCCTCACTCGACACTGTACTGTAATATACCCAACCCCCGATATCCAACTCTCGGATGAATTTGTCATGGTTGACCGCCGTTGTATACATGCTACTATAATAGGCCCAAGCCTACACACTATTTGTCACTTTGTAGCTATATATATGGCCTAGCTACCCGGAATGAGAGCACTTGGTTTTACTCCTGCGTCAAGACTTTGTTCCACGATATGATACATACTTGCAGCTGGATTATGTTAGGGAACCTTACTCTTAACCTTCATAAGAGACAGCCCCGCACGCTGCAACCTTTAGTTCTCTGACTCGGAGCCCATTTTGCTAACTATTTGCATGATACATGGTATGAAGATACTGTGAGGGAACAGGCTATTCCTACTTTCCATCGGAGCGACACTCGTTACACAATAGACTATAGTTTTGGGCATGTGTCTTTTCGACCTCGCTTGGCTAACACCGGAATAATGCATTTATCTCCATGTTGTACTTGCCGCTCATTCTTAACCGTCGACCTAGCAATCCAAGACCATGCCCCTAGTTATGGCACATGGCGCTTTAATTCTTTTCTCTCTCTAAAATTCCGGATTTCGACGTCTTCTACGTACTACATTTGACAAGTTATTTTACTTCCAGTGTAGTGGTTTGACTCCACAGGTTCAGTGGAATTTTTTCTTTAAAAAAAGAGTCATTAAACTTACTGCTCAAGAATATGATAAACAAGCATCCCGTACACATCAGAAAACCACTAATAGTCACCAAACACAACGTGTGACAGTCCCACGTCTATCACACAGTGAGGATCGACGGATAGAATCAGAAAATATTGATTATGAAACTGTACCTGCCATTGAAGAAAGACATAGATACCTTTTCCTCTGGTCCAACACCCCTCGATTGGAAAATGATGAGCAGAGGAAGAAGTATTTCTTCAAAGTATTCTGTCAAAGACTGATTTCTGATAATGGATGGACTATCCGAATACTGATGACGTACCTCAAGGCTTTGGCCTTCTCATCATCGACACTAGGTGCTCAATTTGAACAAGAAAGGGCTTACAATAGAATGCATCCGACTTAGATCAAACAAGTACTGCAAGCATTTGGATTTCCGGACCAGTTAGTATCTTCTATCTACTCTCTTTTATTTTAAACCCAGATTCATGTATAAATCAATGGGTGGTCAGTCACCGCGCTTCCCCAACAACAAGAATTGAGGCAAGGTGATCCGTTTTTGTCAATGCTTTTCAACCTGGCAATTAAATCCTTGCTCCGCCGTATAATCATTGGCCCTAATTTATTGGGCTGCTCGATCCTACACCAAACTGGTAGATATCATGTCGCTCATTGCCCATCGATACGTAATGTCCCACAGTAAGAAAGTCCTTCCCTCAAACATCTAGCTTATGCAGATGATCTTTTGATTTTTTCCAGGGGTCTAGAAGAGTAGCCTACTTTGATTGAACAAGAAGAATCTATGGTCTGGCCTCTAACGCCCATATTAACCCGCAAAAAAGCTCAGGCCTTATCTCTGATAAGTATTAACCACCTTAGTTGATAACCACTTTGAGACGAGGAAAGCATCCCATGGCATGACGAAGATACACCAACGGCACTGATGTACTTGGGCTACCCTTTGTACAGTCACCCGCGATAACGTGACAGTTTTCTAAAGGGGATCTTTTGCAAAACGGAAAAGTTTGTCAACATACTTTGGCTAAGACGAATATCTATTAGAGGAAAATCTATTATATCAAATTTATAGCTGCTTGCAAGACTCTGATATTTCCTGTGCGTGACTATTGTGCCTAATTATTGTCTGCGGAAGTTTCAGATGGTCATCCGATCGTATGTTCTATACTTCTTTCTGCGATCTGCTGGATGGGCACTTAATTGACACAGTAACCAGGGCAGTTTCCGAGGGATATATGCTTTTCATCAATCCTCAGCTTTACACTTTGTGTACATACAACGACTAATTTGGTACAGAACGTTTTGGCGTGGGACAATCGTTTGTCTTGTCTTTGCTAGAAAATCCTATCATAATATACACGTTAACTCACAGTTACATCCATCCTTTTGTCCCCTGACCGATATCATTATTGTTTATTCTACAACTTTCTATACACCCAATTGTAAAGTCAGATGATTCTTCTTGGTTTTTGAGGGCAGAGGCAAGATATATTGTATCTGATATAATGATGGGACACAGAGGCATGTCAACTGCTCCCGGAGACACCCACAGCAAGTACTCGATTATATACAATAGCGTGCCGAGCCGGATTGACTAATGGTTTGCTGGTTATGAGCTCGAATATGCGAGCCCATTTTAAGTGCCAACAGAGAGAATACCCAGGGGGATATCGATTTATCTTCTTTGGTTTTATTGTGGGCGATCCATGGTCAACCTGTGGTAGACGCAAAAAAAAAACAATATGATTTGGTGCTACTGAAACGCTGAGATCACAAAGACTTACGGATCCCCCATACACAGCTTGGCGGTGTTTATTAATTGATTCAACCTCGACTTGGTCTCGACTTGATCACATTATATGTGAAAAGTTCCCTTCTCCCAATTGAACTGTATGCGATTTGGATATGAAAGATGGCCGGAATTTCTGGATTTCATGTCATATGAAGTAGGTCTTCTGGTGATAAGCGCTGGAAAAATACAAGATCCCGCAACTAGCCTAGAGTCAGAAACGTTTTGTGGTTATATATCACACTGACACATCCCCGATCTGAAACTGGGACGTCAGTACTTGCAAAATACTAGAGATACTAGGCTTTTTCCTCCTGGCATTATGGCAGCACTCGCTGACGTTGTATATTCGACTGTAATACCTACGCCACATCAGCGATTATTGATTCCCTTAAAGGCAACCATGATAGATATGGCCCTTTGGCTTTTCGTCTGCTTTATAATTCTTGTTACAATCTTCCCTCCTCTTTCCCTGTAATAATTCTACAAATTAATTTAGCTTCAGTTCAATAGTAAAATAAATACAACACACATATTTAAATAGACATCTTGTTGACTACGGTTACTGGGTAACCCAAGACCGGTCAGAAATAAAAACTTGTACAAAAAAATTGCCTTTTTCTTAGTGCTTCTGACTCTGCACTGTTTGTATAGGACGCCAAAAATAGAGGGAAAGTAGCAGTGAGTCAAGTCGAGTGACTTGAGAGTTGAAGGATTTTTAAAGGTATAAAGAATAAAGAAAGAGAATAATAGTTAATGTAACTTTTATGAATTAATGTTAACGAAATTATTTTCTAGTCGAAAAAGAAAATGAATGCCAAATTGATGCCTATTTTCTGCACAGACTGGTATTTTCTATAGCCATAGTGGCGGCTTTAAGAAGGCTAATGATTAAACCACAAAAGATTTAAAATTCTTTTATCCCCAAAAAAGCTTCAGATCATTATGCTACCCTTTTTCATTACTTAGTCATTCCTAGGTCCATATATCATTTTATAGATATCGCATTAGCTTTTTTTTGTCTGGTAGCTCGGGTACGTTCCTTGTTATCTTCTACTGTGAATCTCTTTTTAACAAAATCA